TATAACGTTTTAACAAGAAAATGACATTCAAAGATTATATTACTACTTTATATGGCAAAAAGATTTACAATGATACCAAAAAGTTACAAGATTTAAAGATACGAAATGCGAACTCAAAAAATCAACTTGTTTTCTTCAAAAGTGCTTATCCAATAACATAACTCCAAAATCGTTTAAAATAAAAACTCCAATTCATACTATAAAAGCAAAAAACATAACGATTGAATACAGTAAAAAACTACTTATTCATGCTCGTAACGAAGCCAAACAGATTATATTCAAGTAAAAAATTAATTAATGAATTGAATATACGAGAAAATTTCTTCAGATAAAAGTAAGATTACACGATTATGAATTAATTAATAGTATCACCAACAAATCAAAAAATTACCATTACATTAAGAAAAAAACGGAAATGAAAGAAAAATATCATAAATTACAAAATACACCGATTATAAAAAAAAACTTTTGTTCCTCCCAATCAAGTTATTAAACCTGCTATACTCAATTTAACTAATGATACTCTGGATAAATCAACAACTGAGCTACTCAATTTAGGTCCAAATTTTGCATCACTGCCAAAAAAAATTCCTTATATCGATGTTTAAGAGCACAAAGGGAATACATTCACTAAACATTGTTTTGAGAAATCTGAATTTGAAAGCTTGAAAACATACAATAATTCATGATACTTATTTATTGTCATGATTTTTAACCAAATGCATTCCTCAATTAATTCTGTCTTGTTTTTTACTATTTTATTTTCATTTCTTTTACATACTTTAATTAATCAAAACCGTAAAATGTTGGACTTATTTCCTTTGTGCTCTTAATCATCGATGTGGATATTATAACTAATATCAAAACTTGCGCTTTACAACTTGAAAAACTTAAAAAACCAACACAGGCAGAAAATCTACGACAAAACTGTTCACAAGTTTTAACAAATTCGCTAAAATTAAGATTAAAAGATAATTTAACTAAGCAACAACGTCTTTCCATAAACAAATTAAAAAACAATTCTAACATTAAGATATACCCTTTCGATAAAGGCACAGGTTTTGCATTAATAAACCAAAAAGATGCATCTCTTAAATTAGAAGAACAAATAAAAAATAGCAAAATTATTGATTATGATCAAACATCCACATTGACTACTAATTTTCAAAGACAATTGTGCAAATTAAAAAAATAAGGTAAACTAGACATAAATACATACTTTAAAATGTATCCATCAGATTGTAACTGTAACCAAGGATTTACGGAATGATTAAAGCTCACAAACCAGAAAAAGATTACCCAATGCACCCTGTTGTATCAACAGTTATCTTGTTAAAATTATTCAACCGACTCTAAACAAAAATAAAATCAGAGATTTTATTTTTGTTCAGAGAAAATCAGAGAGTCACTCGAAATAAGCAAGGCTAGGATATATATATATATATATATATATATATATATATATATATATATATATATATATATATATATATATATATATATATATATATATATATATATATATATATATATATATATATATACACCTTGTACAGAAAGTTTAAACGCACTTGTTTTTTTAACTTATATAATACTTTTAAGAAATGATAACCCGATAAATTAATGAGATATGCTCAGTATTTTTATGTTTATTTATACTATGACTATAAGTTATTAGTTTAGATAGAAAAAAAATTGTATGGATATTATAACGGAGGTGGAGAGTGATGAGAAAATTAACGGAGCAATTAACTCCTTTTAATTTTTTGAAATAAAATTTAAACGCACTTTGATAAGAAAACGCGTAAAACTCGTTTATTGAGAGATTTTTCATTGAAGTCTTTTACATTTTTATCACTCAACAGCCTGTTAACGTTAGTATATTACATTTGGATTCTTATTCTTATTTTATTTTGAATAAAAACCACAAATACGATTTGATTTAAAATATATCAATTTTCAACTGATACAGCTTTGTCAAAATATCATATTTTAATGGGTAAAAAAGCTGTTTCGTCGAAAACAAAATGGCAAGTCATAGGAATGCATAAAATGAAAATAAGCAATAGAGAAATTGGCAGACGCCTAAATATTTCTGAATGCAGCGTTCGTACAACAATAAAAAATTATTTATCAACTGGTAGTGTCAATGATAATCCTCGTACTGGGCGTCCGAAAAAACTGACAGCACGCAATGAAAACATGCTTTACATGCTAAGCAGACGTAACCCAAAAGCGGGAGTATCAACTTTAAGTGCAGAAATCAATAGTTCGCTGGTAGACAAAACAGTTAGTCAAATGACTATAAGTAAGTTATTACGCAAGAAAGAATTAAATTCGTTTCATTGCGTAAGAAAGCCTTTGTTGACGTTAACCGATCGCCAAAGACGAAAAAAATGGTGCAAAGAGCGTTTAAATTATTCAGTAGAACAATGGAAAATGATTATCTTCAGCGATGAATCAAATTTCGAAATTATTAACAGAAAAAACAAGAAATTTGTTCGTCGCAAAAATACAGAAAAATATTTGAAGCAACACCTATTAAGCCATATTCAAAAAGGCGGTGGTTCCGTCGGCATATGGGGATGTATATCAGGCTCAGGCGTTGGCTGTCATAAAATATACAAAGGAAGATTAAACCAGTATGAGTATCGTGACATTTTGGAAAACGCGCTTATCCCTAGTCGCGATTTGTTCCAGGCTGATCAAAACTAATTATTTCAACAAGACAATGCTCCATGCCATACAGCGCATTCAATCACTGATTATTTCCTTAAGTAATATTCAACTTATGCCTTGGCCAGTACGATCACTAGACTTAAACCCGATTGAAAATTTATGGAGCTGGATGGATTATCAACTAACAAAAAAGCAAATATCTAGTCATGAAATGCTCAAACAAGAACTGACAAAACTGTGGCTTGAAATACCAATCAAGATGATTGAAAACTTAATCGAATCAATGCCAAGGCGAATACAAGCATGTATTAAAAACAACGGGGGTCATATTCCGTATTAATATATTTCGATTAAAAGAAGTTGTAGGTGCGTTTAAACTTTATTGCACTTTCTTCTAAGTAATCTTTTGATTACTTGAGTTTGTTGTTTAATTTCAGAAGAGATTTTATGTTTTTCTTGTTCAAAGTTGTGTTTTTTTCTTAATTAATAATTGGCTAAGAATATTAAAAAAAAAAAACCTGGACCCTGCCTCGTGTTTTCTTTTTGTATCACTTTAAACATACCTAAACTTTTTAAAAACAAGTGCGTTTAAACTTTCTGTACAAGGTATATATATATATATATATATATATATATATATATATATATATATATATATATATATATATATATATATATATATATATATATATATATATATATATATATATATATATATATATATATATATATATATAGGTATAGGCATGAAACTCATAGTCCCATGAAAAGTTTTTTTTCTATATGTAAATAAAAATATATTTATACCGCTTTATTTAGAAAGTTGTTTAGTTTCTTTATTATTGAGCACTTTTAATCGAAATAGAGTTTTGTATTAATATTGTAATACAACATTAAACATCAATCGATATATATATATATATATATATTTTATTCTTTTGCATGTCGTAATAGTTTGAAAAATATATAATAATTTCCTAAACGCTATTCTCTAGCTATAAATATTTGATGAATAGTATTTCTCTTCGAAAATATATTAAATACGAGTTGTAGAGAAAACATTTCACTTGAAATATTCACGAGCAATTTTTTTACATAAAAATAACTACAAATCGACAAATTTGCAACTTTTGTGCAAAACCATACTATATATATATATATATATATATATATATATATATATAAAGAGAAAACAAAGATTACGATGCTTTTGCTTCGAATCGGTAAAACACTGTTGTTATGTTTCGAATTAACTAAACAATTTCAAATTTCAAATCTTTCCAAAACATTTTCAATCAAATTTCAAGCTATGCTTTGATGTTAAAAGTAAATTAGGATTTACATTAGGAAGTTTAGTAAAATAATTTTTTCACTGTAATTATTTTAAATACATTTTCTGACAAAAATAAAAAGATCGGCAATCTAATATTAGGCGAGTGGTAGACGTCATAAGTCAATATTTATATTTATTTTTTTACCCCTTCAATTCCAGTACTTGACGGAGTTTAGATCCACCGATACGATTTTTGCTGAGTGATGCCTTTATCTCTTCATGCCATCTGGTACTTTATGTCAAAGAAAGTCAAAGCAACTATATTCTCAAAGAGGTATCGCAGATAATTAAACAATTTGTTAAATGTTGTGGCATCTAAAATGAGATGACGAAATTCAAAATTTAGTAGATCCTGTTTAAACTTTTCTGTGAACACACACATTGCAATTTCTGTCAGAAATATTTGATTGATCAAAAGATTTTGTGAGGACAGCATTAATTATGCCTCTATCTGCTCTTCTCCAAAAGTATCTAAGTCCGCTTTACATTAACTCTCATTACTTTATTACTGTCTGATAATTTCAACTAGGTAACTGTATATAAATTTTTCAGCAACAAGGACACAGGGGAGAAAAGCAATAAAACAAGTTTGTCTAGGGTGCTAAATACTCAACCCTGAAGTAACGTAAAGTAATAATATAATAGAAAAATACGATGCAATAGACTGGGTTTTCGTTTTTGAAAATATTTATTAAATAACAATCATTTTATAAAAATAGCACAATAATTCACTGTTCGTAAATTATTTATTTTTTTTGCAGTAGTTTGTTTGCTCATTTTTTCAGAATGGTTCTTTTTAGTAAGATTTTGTCAAGAACTTGGCTCACACATTAAAAACTTGGCTCATAACTTAAAAAATATATCTAGAAAGGTTTGCACTGTCAAGTTTTAATAAACCTGAAAACAATTTAGGCTTATTAAGCTATTGTAGGAATTTTCAAAGCCGTGATTGGCCTTTATATATATAAGTATAAACAAAAATAAAGTGAAACTTTAAATATGAATTTTTCTATTAAAATATAAATACAATTATAAATAAAATATACAAAAATTTAAATTCTAGAAAACGTACAAGACATCGAACAGAATTCAATAAAATACACCGAATATTTAGAGAAAGCCAAATTACGTCTCCTATTAAAGATAGCAGCTTGACATCTCCATATAAAAATACCATAGTAACATGTTTATAAAAAAACAAGTTCAATAATATGTTTCCTTTTTTAGCCAACCTGAAGAAATAAAAATTAAATCTATTAAACAACTTTTAATAAAATATTATACTTTATATGGGTTACAACATATAAAACGTATTTTATTTAGACAAACATTTTTTATAATGTATATTTTTAAATTTTAAAATTGTTAATATAAAAATAAGATACACAAGACCTTGCTATTTTTAAAACACGAACTTGCTCAAGTTTAATAATATTTGAACATTTTGGAGCAGAAGAATGTTCCTAGTCACTGCACAGTGATATGTCTAAAAAGAGCTTTTTATGGGTTAAATGTAGTTAAAAAGTTTGAGTTTTGACAAGTGTTGAGTGTCGATATGATTGGTTAAGGAAGATTTTGATGATGATACTAAAGCTTTATTATCATCTTTTAAATCTTTCTTATATGATACATGATACATGTTATTGATACATGTTTATATGGGCTGATGTAAAGGTAAGTGTTAAAAAAAAGGTTGGGCATATTAAGGGGTTTTATTAGATTTATTAGAAAACACTTTGAAAAAGTGCAAGCATAAAAAATAAATTTTCACATTTCTTCATTTTATTTCAACATATGATGTGGATGAATTAACATATACTTACTGGCCTCATCTTTCTTTTTTATATGATATTTCACCATTATTTGAAAAGTAAAATACTGCCATTTTCGTGGTAAAATTAGTATACTGAGCTGAAAAATCATAGTAGGGAGAAAATTATACCTGTCTTAGAGTTCTGGGGGTCTCTGGATTAGATTTATAAAAAGAAATTACTCCAATAAAAAAATCCGTTTTGATTATTTTAAAACATTAAACTTTAGCAGCAAAGTTTTTTTGTTTGATCAAGGGTGATTAAAAAATCAACTATTTTTTTAAGTGTTTCAGACTTTTTAGAATAGTCAATGCTCCCCTATCTATATGCAGCAACTATGATATTACAGAAACAACACTTAACCAGTGGTCGATGAAGTTCAATCAAATTGTAAATTTTAACTTTAGTTTTATAATGTCTAGATTTTAACAAAAAACACATTCTTAAAAGTTTTTCCTAACATTTTGAAAGTACTATATTCATATGAATGATGATAAAAGATCACCAGAATTTGGATCTGTTTATAGATCTTGACTAATTCTTTGTCCAACCAAGCCTAAATAAAAAAGATTGGATTCAAATCTGATTAACAAGCTGGTCAGAGCAATAAATCTATTTTATTTTCTTTTATTCACGTTTTGGCTGTATGAACTGTGTGAGCAGGCACTAAATCTACTGATTACGTCTACTGATGGAATCACTTTAGTTCTCTAGCGTCTCTTTATATGTGTTTTGGTTGATTTGATCTGTATAAATATTAAACATACCAACTCAGTCAATATTAAAGCTGCTCCAAATACTAATAATTCCTTGTAACCTTGGAACAACAAAGTGATTACTTAAACTTTTTAGATTTAAACTTTTATCAAGAAGATTTTCTTTTTAATTTATTAATTCAAAATTACTTTTATCAAAAAAATAAATAGATAATTAATTGCTTCCACTTTTCAAAAAATCGATTCTCTCCTTAAACCACCTAAATTTTGTGGGCTGATCTCTGGGAATTCAGGTGTGGATCCAGCATTTTTTGGTCTTTAAGAAAGCTAACTTCCAAAAAGGGCGAAAAACTTTGGGCTTTTTTGTTCCCAGGCTCCTATTATGGTAATTTTTTCCAGACATGGAAAAAATTGCCATGATAGGATCCTGGGAACAAAAAGCCTAAAACTTTTGAACTTTTTTGTTCCCAGGCTCCATGATTGGAGCCTGGGAACAAAAAAGCCCAAAACTTCTGCGCCCCCTGCCCAGAACGTGAGAGGAACAAGCTGATAAAACATTTTTTTTACTATTCTTAACAAGACTTATATTCATTGATAAATTTTAAGTTTCATAAATAATCACTCAACGTTCAAAAACTATGACCTTACAAAGTTTGTATCCCCCACAATTGAAGGGGGTTACAAATTTTATATAGTCATAATTTTTGAATGCTAAAAGATTATACGATAAAACTTAAAATTTATTAATGAGTTTAAGTCTAGTTAAGAATAGTAAAAAAAAATACTTTATCAGCTTGTTGCTCTCACGTTTAGGGCAAGGGGCGCAGAATTTTGGGCTTTTATGTTCCCAGGCTCCAATCATCTCAATTTTTTGCAAACTATCCTTATTTGACGTAAGTATACATACATACATACAAATGTTTAAGTATGACGTAAGTATACATACATACATACAAATGTTTGAAGTTTGCTCCATGTCTGGAAGTTTAAATATAACTAAACTGGTCATCATTAGTAATTTTTCAAACAAATAACAAATTGTGGAACTAACTTATAATATTATAAAAATAATAATCAATATGATTTAAGTCGATAAGAAAGTAGTACAAATATCAATTAAAAAAAATTTTGATTATTATTTATTTCAAACCACCAACATTATAGTCAAATTAAAAGAAGATAATTTGCAATAAGTGGTCATGTCAATAACTTGTTGCAATTCTTTTCTTCATTAAATGTAGTTGTTTGGGATGGGAAAAAGGGTTAGCATCAACTGAAAATGTGAAAAATCAACAATAATTTCCTTGATGAGGTTAGATTTATTCAATTGCAAAAGAATAAAAAAGGGGGAGAAAGCTCAAGTTGTGATAGGTCAAAAAGATTTTATTTATTAAAAGTAGTAAATGAATTTGACAAACAGTTAAGCAAAAAAATAAAAAAGAACATAATATGTAGAAGTTTTAAAAAAAGAGAATGATAAACAATAGCTGTTTAAAAAGAACGTATTTGAATAACAAAAAACACGACTTGAATGTAGAGTTTTTATAAAAATGTAAAAATGATAAAAAAAAAGTGTTTTATTAGTGAGTTAGAACATAAATAAAGTCAAAGATAAAGTTATGCAAAAGTGTCAAATAATTGGAGAGAATTTTTCTTTTGTTTCAACTCTAACTCCAAAACATGAACCTTGACAAACAAAGGCTGCTGCGTGGAGAAACAAGTTGAGGGTGGTACTACCAGAAACATGGTGGAGATTGAACTCAGAGCCTTTTTCTTATGAAACAAGCACTCTATCACTACACCGCTACCACATATGTTTTGCCATTCATCTGCCTTTACTTTTACAGTTTATATATATATACAATTAAAACTCCTCTTTTCGTGCTACTCACCTGCTTTACAATACAGTGATGCTAATCAGTTTTAGTGCCTCTGAAAAAATATATCAATCAAATAATAGTTTCAATCTGATTAAATATATCTAATATTTAATCAGTCAGATTGAAACTATTTTTGTTCCTATAGAATTTTGTTCCTATAGAATTTTGTTCCAAAAGTCAGTTTGTAGTAAATATGTAAAAATAATTTTAAATTAAAAACTTTCATATAATGAACATTTTAGTTCCAAAAATTTTGTAATGAGTATTTTGGTTGTATGAAAAAAGTTCAGCTGTTTGTTAAAAATTTTACTTGAATATAGAATAATAAACCCTTTTATCATCCATAGTCTTATAGCAGCATGTCGAATCTGCTAGTCTCAAAGCTATGACACATAGCTATGACAAAGTAAATAGTTAAAGGTCTTCTCTGGAAATTTAAATTGTTAATGTAATGACAACAACACATTCAAATTATGCCTTTAATGTTTATGAAACTACTTCGAAAGTTTTTTCAAATTATTAATTAATTTATTTTTGTGTTATTAAAATTTTTTTTTTTAAATAACACAAATATGAGTTAATGTATAAAATACATATTGTGCACTAACTGCAATATTGTAACTAAACTGCTGCAATTTGTAAAATGTTACCTAATCATATAATAAAGATAATCTAATAAATTTTAAAAATATACCTTCAGGAAAACGACGTATATGTAATTTTCTTATCTCATCAAGAAATATAATTAGACATGCAAAAGGAAGAGTTGGTAGCCAATAAACAAAGCTAATTGGACGTAAATTCAATCCAGTGTTTAAACCAGGTGTATACTGAAGAAAACAAGTCATAGCTGTTTCAAAAAGTAAACCCAAGTTCAAAAACCAGTTGCTAAATTAAAAAATGCATAAATTAAAAAATGCATAAATTAAAAAATGCATAAATTATTAAATAACTGATAGTTTTGAAATATCAAGTATTTTCAGACTATCAAAAAATTAATTAAGCAAAAATAAAAATAATAAAAACTGGTTCAGCAGTATTTCACTAGCAGTGTATCGATAAATACATTAGAAATGTGGTACTAATGGATATTTTTAATATAATATAAATTATTTGCTTCTGAAAATCTTGTCTCTAAACAGATTCCTTCAGAATTTACATAAAACTTAGGATGGTATGCAAGAAGCAAACTTGAGTCAAGTTCGACTTGAATTTGATTTTGCAATCAATAGCGGCAGAGTATTTTTGAGGGGAAAACCCATACTATGTTGCTATTGGTTATAATGTAAAGTTCAAGTCGAGCTTGACTCAAGTTTGCTTTTTGCATTCCACCCTTAGTTTGCAGTTAATGATTTGATTTACAATTTCCACTAGAGTTTTATATTTTTCGATATGTCATTTTTGTTTAAAAAATATGTTTAAAACATTCACATTCAAACATTTTAATCATTTTGTTTTGTTTTCTAAAAGTGTCTAGATTTACACTTCAAAACATAAAGTTTTGAAATTTAAATCAAAACTTAGTTATGCAAAATATATATATGTGAATTTAAACTCTAAAACACAAACCTTTTTAAACAAGGCCAAAGAGAAACAAGTTGAGCATGGTACTTTGTCATAGGGAGGATTTGAAATAAATGCATACACAGAGTAGCGGACAATATTAGACGACATTACAACTTACAATTGAAAATAAGGTATTGCTTAAGTTTTATAAAATAACATTTTTTTAAATACAGCAATCAAAATATTTTTAAATATGTTGTTAACATATTCATTGTAGTATTTCATTAAAAAATAATTACTTCATTAAAATATTTCATATATTTTCAAAAAAAAAAATTACTTCATTAAAATATTTCAACACAGAAAGACAAACACCAAAAGTAGTTGATTTTGTTTGTTTAACACATTAAACATCAGAAATAAAAAAGTGTAAGTAGTATTCTGACAAAAGTTGTTTCTGGAAAATATCCAAGATAACCTACACTACATGCGAATTAAAGCATTGTAAATGTAGTGAAAAATGATTAAAACTCATCAAGATTTTTCAGAAATGAAAATTTTTGCAAATCAGAAAATAAAAATCAACATGATTATTATTTGAGTAAATCATTAAGCAAAGATATTCAATTCACTATTTAAAAAGCGCTATTGGAACAAAATTTAGATTTGCTAATTTTGATGATAAAGTGGAAACACCATATAAGTATGATTGCAAACAAAAACTTTTTATAGCTTATTATTTTTAAAATTCAGAGCATTTTTTTTGGTTTTTAGTTTACTCTATAACTTACTTATTCAGTAACTTTAGTTTATGATCAAAAAATAAAGTTTATGAAGTTAAATTGTTCAAATAGTACAAAAAAATTTCTATATTACAATTGTTATTAAACTTTATGCATAATTTCCATCAATTTTTAAAAGATTTTAAGATACCACAATCTCTACTTTTACCTCCTATATAAAAACTCTTAAGGTGTTCTTGGAGCTTAACATGTTTTGAAAATAATGTTTAATAAAAATGTCCCTTGTGCTTAATATTCAAGTTGGTTATTTTATTAATAATATAAAATTACTTCTTAAAATTTTTTTTTCTTTTTTGAATTTTTTTATTAATTAAAAATCAAACATATTATTCTATTAAATAAATTATGCACAGCTATTATTAACCAACCTCATTCCATGTTGAAATAGAGATAAGTGTCTGGTTTTACTGACAAGAAGATCACCCCATTGAGAAACAACAATACTAGTAAAAAAAGCTGTATGAACAGTATACTCCAACTCTTTTCGTTGAAAGTAGTTCCACTCACTGCCATAAGAATCTTCAAGATTGTTTACATTTATGTCATCCCATCTACTTCGAAGTCCAATTAACTTTGATGGCCAAAACCCATTATCACCCAAAACAATAAAGTAACATAAAAAAGCACCAAATGTCTAAAATATAAAACCATTGGCGTTTTAAAATAATAAATAGTAATTAAAATGAATTTTTCCCAAAAACATGTTTATATAAACTAATCAAATCATTTGCATACACATTTAAACACAAAAACAAACATTCAAAATTTAATAGTCAGTCAGTTTAGTCTCTAACTGCCTTATGTCATTCATTTATAATGGTCACATTTTTAAAAATATTTTGGTTGTTTATTCCTTATCTTACAATATTTTCCTTTAAAAGTTTAACCCTAAAAAAAATTCAAATGTTTTCAAACTTCATAGTTTTATTTTAACATCATTTTAAATTTTTTTTATTATTATTTCTTCTCTATCAAATCATCTTAGTCACCCTCATAATTAGCAAAATGTAAATAATCTAGGAACACAGTTACTATTGTAATATCAAATACTTCAACTAGAAAAAAAACATCAAAAAAAAAAAAGACCTGAATTACACCTCTCATTGAATAAGACAATGAAATTAGACGTGAATTAACAAGTTGATCATGACTCTCATTTCGAGGTTTGCGCTCCATAATATCATTTTCAGGTGATTCATAAGCCAATGAGATAGCAGGAAATAAATTTGTAACAGCAATGCATAACATAGGGATTGTTCCAAGCGGTAAAGGAATATTTAATATGATAAAAATAGTAAATGGAGCTAACTCAGGAATGTTACTAGTCAGAGTGTACAAAATTGATTTTTTTAAATTATCAAATATGAGACGCCCTTCCTCAACACCAGTAACAATTGAAGCAAAGTTATCATCTAACAAAATTATGTCAGCGGCTTCTTTAGATACATCTGATCCTGCAATACCCATTGCAATACCTTTCAATAAAATAAAAACTCAGCACTCATAATAAAATGATATTTGCTAAGTAAAAAAAAAAAAAATGAATAAAAGAATATTGTAACTCACTCATTCAAGTTTAAAAAAATTTTAGAATCAGAATGAGTATATACTTTTATAAAAAATATAATAAAAAAATGTACAAAATAATATAAAAAACTATTTATAACTTTTTTTATGCACACATCTAAATAATCTTTTATTTAGATGCATACATATGCACTTATGCAAACATATTAAAAAATTAATTACCGAGAATTGATTTGTTGGTTACTAAAACTTCTTTAGTTCATAAGTGTTCATACATATTTTTTATAACTGAAAGGTTAACCTTAATTACAAAAAGAGATAAATCTTGAATACAAAATAAATTGTTAATGAGTTTACATACCAATATCAGCTTTCTTTAAAGCAGGTGAATCATTTAAGCCATCCCCAGTGACTGCTACAATTGAGCCTAAACGCTGGCACCCTTCAACAATAATCAACTTAAGTTGTGGTGAAATGCGAGCAAAAACAATTTCAGGATAATGTTTTAATATATCATCAAGCTCATGCTGGTCCATACTTTGTAACTGATCTGTTATAAACAAATGTATACATAAAACTAAATGTATGTATATATATTATATATACATATGTATATATATATATACATATGTATATATATATAAATACATATGTATATATATATATATATATATATATATATATATATATATATATATATATATTATATATATATATATATATATATATATATATATATATATATATATATATATATATATATATATATATATATATATACATATGTATATATATATGCATATATACAGGGGAGAGTGACAAGTAGTGGGACACTACTCGCCACTCTCCCCTGTATAATTCATAAATTCTTTTTTAGGTTATTTACAATATCTTTTTTATTTGATGTATAAACTGAACCAAACAAGTTTTTACAAATAAACCTTATTTTTAGGCATTGATTCAATCCCATTAGGATTCCAGCCAAAAATTAAGTATATAAATTTTTGCTTTTAGAGAAACCGTGCCATTGGGGGTAAAGTGGGACAAGTGTGAGTAGAAGTGGGACAAATAAATTTAAAACAACATTTTAACACAAATTATTAAATAGAAACTGATAAAATCATAAAATAACCTAATCGAAATAATCAAATGGTAAAGGGACAAAATCACCAATTAAAATAATCAAATGGTAAAGGGAAGAAGCAGGGTATAAATATTTCTTTTTTCTGTCCCGCTTCACCCCAATATAAACGCTTTTTTAAGGTACGTTTTAAAATTAGAGCTTTTAGCGCATGCAGGGAAACAAAGCAATTTCTGCTAAATAGAGGGGAAGACATCATTCTTCATTCATCATTCTTAGTTTTTTTTCTTCTTTTTCTAAAAAAGTTGTATGGATTAAGGTAAGCAAAAAAGTGAGCAAATGCTTATAAAAATACGCTTTAGTAAGTGTGTGTGTGTGTATATATATATATATATATATATATATATATATATATATATATATATATATATATATATATATATATATATATATATATATATATATATATACATTACCAAAACTTCTTTTCAGCACAAAATGTGATATTACTTTTAAAAATAAGACAAATTTTTTAATTTTAATTAAACTCATTTTATTTTTCAAGACATGTTTTGACTATATATAGTCATCATCAGTTAAAATATATTTGTTAAAAACGGTATAAAATATGGTACATAATTGTAAAAATAAACATAATAAAAGCCATAAAATTGTAAACAAACTTCCTATATATACAAAAAGATTTAATAAAAATTATTTTAACAAATGTCAAATATAACAAAAGAAACCGGTAAACCATATTAAATTATAAGAATCATTTTAACATGGTTTACTTGTTTATTTATATTGGGTTTTTCCCATCCTATAAGAATGCTTTTTTTAATTTTTAATTCAATTTTGTTTTTAGCACAATCCAAAATCGAAAAGCATTAATAATTATAATATTTAAAACATTTTTCTTTTGAGTGAAGATGTTTATAAATAAGAGAGTTTTTATCCTTTCTGTAGTGTTCAATCACTTGCGTCTTTAGGTGGCAAGAGGTTTTGCCAATATAACAGGATTTACATCCTGCATTATATTGTTATAAATATTGTTACAAATACAAAAAAATGTTTTTAACAAATATATTTTAACTGATGATGACTATACATAGTCGAACATGTCTTGAAAAATAAAATGATTTTAAATAAAATTGAAAAATTTGTCTAATTTTTAAAAGTAATATATATATATATATATATATATATATATATATATATATATATATATATATATATATATATATATATATATATATATATACATATACATACATATATATATATATATATATATATATATATATATATATATATATATATATATATATATATATATATATATATATATATATATATATATATATATACAGAGCCGCCCTTGTGAGGCCTGGAGCAAAACATTTTTGCAAGGCCTTTTTGAAAGCCATCATTTTAGGCGCTTTGACGAAGACAAATTTATTCTCTTACTGTCTGAAAAGAGGTTGTATAAGTGCAAAACATGAATTTTGGGTTGGTATAATTTTGAGTTGTTATTTTTGTATAGGTTTATAAAAAGGACTGATTGCTTCATAAATTAATCTAGAATAATAACAATAACGTTTATTCTTAAAGTTATTAAAGGCCAAATAATGTAAAATAAATAATAATTTTTGTCTGACAAGAAATAAATGAATTAGAATAGCAAATAAATTTTTCCTTTTTTGGTTATTATTGAATAATTAGTTATAATTAATATAACATAGTTTTACAAAATAGTAATCTTATTGGCATAGTATTATGTTTTCGGCAATTAATATGAAGGGTGTTTAAAGATAGGTAGATGTTATATAATAAGTGTTCACACTGTAAAATAATAGACATTAATTTTATAATAGATTATTGGCAAATATTTATAATAAAATAATAGAGTGTTGTTAATACTGTAAAAACAATTGTCTAGAGTTGCATAATTTTTAAAGTTGCTTCAAAAGGATGAAAAATTAGATGTCACAATTGATAGCCTTTCTTGACCCATGAACGAACATAATTATGTCTTAATAAGTTTCAAGAGTGAAAAACTCCTTCTGCGCTTGTCACAGTTACAGGTATAGTCAATAAAGTTCTATGCGTTATAAATGTATTCAGAAATGGGTTTTGAATCTGACGAATAAATCTCAAAATCCTTGCAGTTGTTTCCACCTTAGCAGGTAGAAGTTCCACAAACATTTTTTTCTTTTTCGAAACTTAGGAACTCGCAACTCCAAGGTGAATTTTTTGAGTCTGCAGGCTTTTTTTTCATAACTTATTTCATTCATAACTGATGGTGTTTAACTATTGGCTTTTTTTTGGATCCTCAATGAACTCAACTAGTTCAACTAATGCAGTATGAACTTCTTTAATTTGATATCAAAGCGCTTTTATGCTTCCTAGTTTACTTTCCCAACGAGTGTCACTGGACTTTTTTTACAGCCAGATTTAGTACGTGTTGAATGAAAATTTTGGGATTTTAAAAAAAAATGAAAATTACATTTTTGACGAAGAAAAAAGTACATACATTCTTTGCACAACACCAAAAAATGTCATAGATTTAGATAACCATTTTGTTGCATCTCAAATTAGGAAGTTGAGGCTATGACTAACGCAGGGCACGTAAAATGCTTTTGGATTTATTTCTAAGATCCGTGCCTGTACTTAAGAGTGGATACTTTTTATATTAGAACTGCTGTCATACCATTGTCCCCTTTTTTTTTCGATGCTTACATCTTCAATTTTACTTTTAAGAGAAGTTGTATACATATTAATTTTTACAAATCGCATGACCAATGATACCTGCTTCTTCTGACTAAAAAGGAGCAGTTATCTTTTTTTTTAATTTTTTATATTAATTTTATTTTACTTACGTTAATTTTGAACTTTTATTTTAAATTCTTTCATTCAATTTGTTCTTGTTTCTTCTTTTTAGATATTTTGTTTTTTCTTTTTTTTAGTTTCGAAAAACAAAACAAAATTTTCGCCTGATCTATTAATTTTTTTTTACTTTTTTACTCTTTAAAAAAATATTTTATAGCTGTTAAACAAAAGAGCTTCAATAGCCTTGAACAATGATTTGCATTTGTTTTTCACTATTACCACATACAATAGAGAATCATATTGATATTTTTTTAAATAATAAATAATTGCGCGGGTAATTAGATATTTTTGGCACATATGTTATTGTTATATTATTTTCATTTAACCAAAACCTTTTCTTATTTTTTCTTAGAAAGGTTTCTGGCTATTGATGTTTTTAACTTAACTAAAAAAATAGTTATTCTGACATCATTGCTTTTTTAATATATAACTTAAATAGTTTTTGCAAAAATCTTTGTAAATAGAAGCCTTCATAATTTTGTTGATCTAAACTAATGGACCAACTCTTTGTGCAGAGAAAATTCTCTCAGAACAATGCACATCCTCCACCATGTTTTATTGTTGAAATTTGGTATTAAACATCATTTCTTATGCCAATAGGGCATTAATTATGTTGACTACCATCGTTTTTAAAAATATAAAATACTTTTGACATCTTTAGTTTAATGATAATAATTTAATTCTTTTTTTGACATCTGTATTTTTTTAAATTCGCATTTACTTCCAACAAAGCAGCAAGCAACCAAGCTTTTTTAGTAAGTAACTAGGCAACCAAGTTGAAAAAATGAATAGTTAAAGAGCAAGGAAGTGGTTGACAGAAGACTTGAAAAGCTGTAGGTTCTATGAGTCAAGAAAACATGAAGTTAGGAGAGAGTTTCAAAGGGATAATGTGTAGGGAAAAAAATATACAAAAAAGTTTTTCAGAGAATGTAAGGACAGATACAGTAAAAAAATTAGACTTTGCTGAATGACAAATTAAGTGAAAATGAGTTTTAGTTGATGGAGCTAGAGATGATAGCTCCTTTGAGCAGTGACCATGGTTGTATTTTGTAGAAAGAGATGCAACTTTGCAAAAATTTACAAAAGTGGGAGAGAGGCTCAAGCTTGGCAAATAGTTCCAAAAAAATTTATAATGTGTTTTGAACCTTGTGAGAGCATCATTAAAAGATCCAGCCCAAATATGGCAGCATTATTAGATACAGGTAAGAAAAAGAGATTTGCAGAGGTAAAGAATGGAATCAGGAGTTAGAAAATGGCAAGTACAATAAAGTAAAGCAACCTTAGCAGATGCTAATTTAGCATCTGATTGTATATATGGTTTCCATGAGAGGTTGATAGTGAACAATAATCTAAGAAGATGTAAAGAAGAGGACTCAGTGAGAGAGTTGCCATTTATTATTATAGAAATGTCGGCAATTTTGTAATAGTTGTTTGCAGTAAACAGTTAAGTTTTGTTGGAGTTAAAATTCACAAGACATTGCAAGCCCTAATCTATTCTTATATAATTTACAATCACTCAGAATTAAGACAAACTCAAGATCGGCTGCCTGTTCTGAGCAATTGAAAATAAGAAGACT